TGGCACTTCCAGTGTACTGAGACAGGTTATTTTCACCATACCTGTTGACTTCACGTGTGATCAGATCCATGGTAGTGTCCGGAGAAAAAATTTTTAAAAAATTAATCGGCACAAACCCAGTTGTGTCTGACACAACACCTTGTTGTTCTTGGTATGGAGGAAGATTGTCAATCTCAACAAGTTCATTTTCAGCAGCCTTTCTCCATTTCCAAATGACATTTTCAGCTGTAGAAATGTTCTGGTCTCTTGTGCCACGCCCACTTCTATCAACAGAAGTGCCTACATCACCTGCCTCATCAAGTCCATCGTCGCTGTCGCTACTTTCAGTTGCGATATCATCCACTGGTGCATCTCTTTCAGCACCACAATCACTTGCAGAGTCAGAATCGTCTCTGTTACAGGTCTGGGTTTTATCATCAGACATGATGAAAAGGCTGTATATGCACTTGACACAAAAATTAACATAAATTTCACTGGAAAAAAAACACTTGCAATGACTCTAATCGATATGAATTGAAAGTACGGCCATCTTGGAACAATAAGAATACCCGAATGCAGTTTAATTAAAAAACTATCGGTAGGGATGTCGGTCGGCAGACTACAAGTCGCGAATTCGTCGATCATCGAAGTTGGTCTCCAGGGGATATGGCCGGAAATTCGTCGATCATCGAAGTTGGTCAGCAAAGGATTAATACAGTTCCTCAAGCTGTGGCAATCCACCATCATTAATCAGCAATCTGGGTGTAACCAGAAGGTCTGGTCAGCTCACTACACGCAGAGAAAAAGCAAAACGAACATGTAACCAGATTGTGACCGGTACCATCAGTACTGGAACTCTGCGCTGGCTGCTGAAGATGAGGAGGAGCATACACGGGAAGGCCCTGAGTGGTGTGAGGTCAATACTTGACTCTACTCAACTCAATCAGCAAGTCTTTCACTCCTGGCCTGCCTAAAAGTATCTCTTTCCCTAGCCATTTCTCCAGCCACCAAACAATCATACAATTATTGTTGTTGCTATTGCATAACTTCAGAAAATATGTGTTTTCCGACGGTCTAAGGTGACCCCTGTGAAAGAGTCGTTCGACCAACAAAAGGGTTGCAAATCACAGGTTGATAACCGCTGCTTTAGGATTTAAAACTAACTTTAAAAAAAAATATTGAAAAATGTATGAAAGACATGAAGCAAAAACAGTACAGTGTTAGATTGGCCTGCATGGCTAATTATCAAACCTTTTAAAATAAAGATCTTTAAACTGTTCATTTTAACCTAAGAGAAAACCTCAGTGTTTAATTTATAAACAGGGCAAGTACTGGGCATTTTTAAAGGCTCACTACAATTAATAAATGCAGAACAAATATTTAAAAAAAACCAGGTATATGATGTCATCAAACTAAAAAGTCATTAAATTAGTTACAATAGTCACTGCTACGTTTTGGGAAGCTGGAAAGTCCCAGTGAAATATTCATTATAACTTACTCATGAAATTTCTAACCCTAATGCAATGAGAAGATTGTTTATCAGGAAATTTTGCTAGAAATTTGTGAACAGCCACTCGTGCGTATCTACCACCATTTTGAAACTCCACCAAAAGAATTCTTTTTGAGTGCACAGAATTACTCCAGCAGACGACAGCCATTCACTGCAGTTTGCTTCATAGTTTTCTGTGGAGCACATTTTTTTGATGATGTCAAGTATTTCATTTAGCAGATTTGTTCTAATTACAAAGTGTAGTGAGGATTTACAAACACCCTATATTTCACAGTCTAGATTGTTAATTAGGTTCCTACCTGTAGTAAGAAAGTGAAGATATCATTGTACAACTCCTGGCTTCTTCCTGATATCACAACATCTACAGGCCAGGGAACCTGGAAAACAAGGGAGGCAAATAAAAGAAAACTATAAGGGAGACAATAAACACTGTTAAGGGAGACAATCAAATAAAAGTTGCAATGCAAATTAAAAAAAAAAAAAGGACAGAAAAATGTGAATAAAACTTAACAAACACACTATATAATTTCAAAACTGCGATAAATAAAATATGACCAGAAAATTTGTGGGGAAAAAAACAACAACCTAGGACCAAATCTCAAATTACATCACACACATCTTAGTTCCATATTCTTGTTTCGAGCATTATACTGTTCCACACTGGACAGCAAACTATTGCAATGTATGTCCTTACGTCCTTCTTAGGACGTTATTTTTTGTTATTTGAAGCCCCACTCTGGCTTTTGCCAGGGGCCGTAATATAGGCAGGTCATCATTATGGCCAAATGCCTGAACGCGGTTTCTGGGACCTCTCCACGGTGATCCTCATCCGCATGGTGGCACTTTGTGTCATCGGGTGTTTATCGCTTCTGTGATGTCCTGGTGGGGTAGAAATTCAGTTCAGTTCACAGCAAACTACTAGCTCAACCCCTTAGAGGCAATGTTATTCTTTTCACAGGTCCCTGTTTCATTTTTGTAAATATCTTCAATTTGTGTCAGACTGTCAGGGATTATAAGTGCTACTTTAAAAATAAATGCTATGCCACTCTCCCAACAACAATAAAATTCTTTGGGGGAAGGAGAGTTAGCGAGTGAAAGGGAGGAGAGGAAGCAAATGACAAAAAAATCCAGGTTGAGATTTTGTAATTATATTTATTATTCTTAATCATTAAGGAATTGACCCCAGAACCAGCACAAAGCATACCGACTGATTCACCATCATCATCATCATGTGTCATGTTAAGCAAAGACTGTCGTGCTTAACCATCCATAGTCACCAGAATCATGGATCAGATCAGTGTTCTTGTCCAATCCTCTTAGGGTATTATCTTTATGCCTTCCCCTTGCTACCTTTCTATCAATCGTGCTAGTCATTATCAAGTTCCCAAATCGATTCCTTCCCATACAAACACCGACTGTCTGCATCACATTCCTCTAATCAGTTTACAGTTTTCTGTCTTGGGAAGGACTGCGTCTTTTATTTTTCGATCACTCCGTAATATTCTGTGCATTCTTCTCTCAGAACCCACACCTCACTCAGCTGGAAGTAAATGTTTTTCTGCTTGTTTTTCTAATTCTTCTTCTTCTCAGTGTTAACCGGCTGTAAACTCCAATGAAAAGTTCTGGTTGTACATCAGCTTTACAGGAAAACTCCTTTAATCAATCACCTTCTACAACATGCTTGTTAGGGAGGCAGGGGATCTATCCCCCCTCCACCCCCCATTCCCTTTTCGCAGTATGAGCCCTGAAATCCACAAGAGGAGTTTGTCTTATGACTCCATACCATATAAACATTTAGACACAACAAATAAGAAGAACTAGACCATGCTTAAGAGAAATGAATAACCAGCATGGCAAAAGAAATTAATTTCACCATGTAAGAAATCAGTTAGTTAGTTAGTTAGTTAGTTAGTTAGTTAGTTAGTTAGTTAGTTAGTTGGGTTATCCTCATTGCACTCCGGACATGTCCATAGGTGCTCAGATCCTCCCCTCAGTATGAACCCCAACATCCGATGGCTAATAGTACCAGTTCTATGTTGATTAACAAGTCTTCTGGCGTGTCTGGTGTGCGTCTCGTTTTTTGCTGAACCGATCCTAATTCCCAAGTCTGCCATTCTGGCGAGTGATGTTGATTCACTGCCACCAAAGTCCTCTATCCTTCCCATTTCTCTGAGGGCATTGATAATATCAGCATGATCCATAGGCTGACCGTCGGTAGTGAAAGCGGATCCTGCCAACCTGTCAGCTCTTTCATTTCCATCCACGCCTGCGTGTCCCGGAACAAAAATAAAGGTGACTCCACGCACAGTGGACTTCTGTAATGATTCAAGCCATTGTCTTCGCACTGAACCTGCCTGAACCCTCCGGATCATACTCATTGAATCACTGAGTATACACACGCGGGTGTATTTTTGTGTTTCAAGCCAGGCAAGCGCTTGCGTCACTGCCATCACCTCCATCGTTATGCTGCTGGTTGTCATGGAGAAGGGGCCGTTGGCTTCTTTGACTGTTCTGCCCGCTCAGCGTGCTGTAAATGCCCATGCGCTTCTTCTTTGGCGTATAACGGATCCGTCTGTATAGATTATTCCATCTGCTTCGTCTGAATTTTCACCGATGAGAGCGTTGACCTCTGCATTAACAGCAACAGGATTCTCTTCTCTACATCGCCTGTTGAGTGTGACAATACAGGAAAATGTACAAATAAACGCCTGAGGCACAGGTATCCATTCTGCACCAGGTATGATGTCAGTTAGGCTGCATATTTGCCTAATAACATCTTCTGCCCGACCTAGCCACGATTTCCCCCTCTCCAGTCTGTCGCCCTTTTCACTAAAAAGCGCTTGATGCAGTGGGTGTTTCTTATCAGCACATATTTTGAGATATGCCCGAGCCCGAGATAAAATCAGTGTTCTTGTCCAGCCCTCTCAGGGTATTATCTCTATGCCTTCCCCATCAAAGATACAAACAGCGGGGAATGGAGAGTGAGAAGCAACAACGAAATTCATAATCTGTTTAAATCACTTTTGATAACTGGCATCATGAGAGCTAACAGACTGAAATGGTTGGGGCATACTGAGAGAATGTCAGATGACAGAGAAGTAAAAACTGTATAAACAAGGGAAATGAATGGTCGTAGACCACGAGGCAGACCAAGAAGACCATGGAGAGATAATGTCCAGTGAGACCTGCAAACACTTGGTGTCACCAACTGGAAAGAGAAGGCCAACCAGAGAGATGAATGGAGGCTGGTGATATTTGCAGCAATGAACCTCAAGGGCTCGGAATGCTGAAGAAGAAAAAAAAAAGGTAAGAAATCAGACTCTTTATAATCACTGACAAGTAATAGGGAAAAAGGAAAAAAAGGAAGAATGGCCAGTCAAAGAGGAGTATAAAAAATAAGGTGGAGAGAAAGAAAATGAAGAAGAAATAATAATAATACAGAAGAAAGAGGAGGAGAAGAAGAAGAAAGAAGGAGGAGGAGGAGAATAAGTAGTACAGTAGGACAGCTGACCTTATACTTGAGCTGAATACAATCAGTCTGATTAATGGCTCTCTTTTCTTTCTGGTTAACATCTGTACTCACTGTAACTGTCAACCTGTTTGGAATACAACAGAGCATAACTCACTAGGAAGAACTGCAGCTGGTGCTACTTCCTGTCATCTGATGGCAATGTGCTCAAAACTCCTTCTTGGTGGGGACTTTTTCAATGACTTTAGCCTGCAAGTCAACCTAACCAAGTAACAAGTACCAGAAAATGTTCTGGGAAGCAAAGGTGGCCAACAGGACACTGACAACACGAGTGTTTACTGGTCTTAAATGGTGGTTTTGGCAGCATATACACAATATGCTTCTTGTTTTTATTTTGCTTAAAGGTAAAGGTGAGAGGATCGACTTCATTGCACCGGATTTGATCCCATATGGCTTAGCCTGTCCCAGCAGAACAGCTAGCTACCGACAGACAGCCTCATAGAGAGCACGACCTCTGTAGCCCCAGGGATGTCTGTAAAAATTACACTTGTAAACTAAACGGCACCACCGTGAAATTAACCCACAACCTTATGAGCGCGAGGCAAATGGCTTGATCACTTCACCACGGATACCCCCTCCTCACCATTATGCTATAAAATATTGTAACAGCCAATCTGCTGTCTAAATAACAGAGCAGGACATACAGTATCTGGCTATGTATGTGATAAAATAGTATATTTGTTTTGGCTATGTATGTGATAAAAAGGAATATTTGTACCATCTATATATATAAAATAGAATAATTGTTATGGCCATGAAAGCGATAAAATTGTATTTTGTTTTGGCTATGTATGTGATAAAATGATGTATTTGTTTTGGCTAGGTATGTGATAAAATGCAATATTTGTTATGGCCATGTAAGCGAAAAAAATTGTATTTTGTTTTGGCTATGTATGTGATAAAATGGTATATTTGTTTTGGCTATGTATGTGATAAAATATAATATCTGTTATGGCTATGTGTGTGATAAAATTGAATATTTGTACTGGCTATATATGATGAAATGGAATAATTGTTATGGCAATGTAAACGATAAAATGGTATTCTGTTTTGACTATGTATGTGATAAAATGATATATATATATTTTGGCTATGTATGTGATAAAATGGTGTATTTGTTTTAGCTATGTATGTGATAAAATGGTATATCTGTTTTGGCTATGTATATGATAAAATGGTATATTTGTTTTGGCTATGCATGTGATAAAATGAAATATATGTTTTGGCTATGTAAGTGATAAAATGGTATATTTGTTTTGGCTATGTACATGATAAAATGCAATATTTGGTTTCAGAATACAAAACAACTCACTTTGATAAATCCTGGGGAAATCTTGGGGCCACTGCCTCGTGCAGGTAGAGCTCCAGCATGGAACCACTGTGCCAAAATTCTCTGTTCATTATCTGAAACATATCAGTGCATAAATGTAACAGTATACAGGCTGATTAAAAGTCCTCAGTCAATCAGACAGGTACCATCTCTACAATGGCGGTTGGCTGCTCTCTGTTATACAATCTTTGAGATAGCTATCAATGTCTTTCCTGCTTGTATCACTGTCCACCTGTTAATCCCCTGCCTTCAAACTTTCTCTCCGAAATGGTTTAAATAAGTGCTGACCCCACCTACACGTGATGCACATCAGGAAAACTGAAGCCGCAAGCTCTCAGGCTAACGGGGCTCTGGCTTGCTAGATGGGATGAGATCTGTCTGGTTAAATACTCTATTAATCTGCAACAGATCCAGCAAACCGGCGGTGGATTAAAGTGCTTGCTCAAAGAAAAAAAAAAAAAAAAGAAAAGAAATGTTTATGACAAATTCTAAATGCGACTTGAACAAACAGGATCATAAATGACGGTAAGAAGAAACAAGTTGGGACGGAGTCAGTACTAAACTACATCAAGAGACAACAGATTAAATAGGCTGGTGTGTACAGACTACCACTAAACAGTGCACCACAGACAGCCCTGTCACTCAAACACAGCTCTAGAAGTCGGCTATGCAACTGAGGGATAGAAGGAACATCTGAGGTAATAAATACCAGCATTTTGGTAGCACATAACAAAGGAATGGGTACGACTGCCAGGAGAGTGGTGTACATCCTTTTCAGTCAGCAGAAAACTGGATAAAGATGCAGACAAGGCCTGCTGGTGGCTGAGGCAGAAGTTCAAACCTTAATTCTTCAAAATTCTGCTGATGGGGGGTGTAGTTATCTTCACTGAAGGATCTATCATTTGACATGTACAAAGCTGATGGGCTTTCACGGTTCTAGTTCAAGCGAAAACTTTAAAAAAGAAAACAGCAGGGTTTTTGCCTTAACTACAAATAGATTGACTATGAAGGTGATGGTGGTCATAAAAGCAATGATGTGGCTTAAGACACAGCATTTTACCTATGCGTGCTTTCTAAGCGATTTCATGAGCATGCTTAAGAAGACAGAGACAGGATGGATTCTAAGAAAATGGTTGAAGTCGCTGAGGAAATCTCGTCTGATAGGAATTATTTCATTTTTGTGCCAGGACACACTGTAAGAGGAATAAGAGTATTGTCTAGCTGGCAGGGCTATAGCAGGTACAGGAAAAGCAATAGACCGGGCCGACATTCTCAATGCTCTCAAGGAGGCAGGACGAGAAGATGATTCAGGAGACGACTCTGAATTGGCAACACACAAAAAAAATACATGAATCTCAGGCTGAAAGAGGTATGGCCAAACATGAACGCTATACATGCAGCCAAAGACAATTAGTAAACCAACATAAAACTCATGTTATCAGTCGCCACACGCTGGGGGATATACTAAAGATGGGATTCAATCGCTTAGGGACTTGACTGTGGATAATGAGGATAATCTGTCGATTAACTCACTAACTAAGTAAGGCTTGCACCAATACCTCTCCAAAATCTGATGCCAAAAGGCAGAACATGATTAGAGAAGCAGAAAAAGGTTGTGCCTTTTACTGTGACGAAAATTACAGTGCATATGTAGTTTTTGATGTTAGCAACTTTAGAATTTTGTCTGTGTTATAAGTGTCCCTAAGGGAAGCAAAGTAGACACCATGTATGTCATAAGAGGCAGCAAAGGAAGGTTGGCATGAGACTGAATAGCTCATAAGGTGCACAACTTTAACTCTTTGTGTCCAAGAAGCGCACCATGTGGCTTTGATTTTTATTAAACTCTGTGAATTAACATATTTTTAAGTCAATTACATCTTATATTTGATGAGAGATTCTTTAACTCTTGCAATACACTCTTTTCCAGCAAGACTTATATGTTTGGACATCAATAAACTGAGTGTTTTTACCTCGCTGGGCCATCAGCTAGGACCTCTTGGGACTGAAAGAGTTAATTGCAACATCCTATTTCTGCATTCACCTTCAAAAGGGTGGTCGGCACACAGCTAGGCTGTGATACATGCACTTATCAGCCCCAACATCAGATTTCAGCGAAAGCCTAATTAGTCACCTATTACAAAATGCTTGTTAGGGGACACTAGAACTATTGTCTCTCTAATATGGGGCCCTTGGACCCACATGGAGAAACTGCCATATCTAACATAGGAGCCTGGCACTGTCACCTCTTCCTAATTTAAACAGCCACGAAGCACAATGATACAAGTATCTTATGTTACAATATGTTATCACAATCAACATCACTACATATGGGCATTCCCATGCATGCTCAGTCCTCAGCCATTCTAAGGTATTTCTACTAATTGTTCCCATGAGAAGTTCGTTATAATGTCTCCTATGCCAGCCATGAAGGCGGCATAGACATGCTTCACCAAAAGCAAGCATGGTTTCTGTTTGTTATATTGTAAGCTAGCTGGTATACTTTTTGTTCGGTTTTATATCTTTTCACTATGCTTTACTCCCATGTCACCCAATATTGTTAGTGTCAGAGATTCATCATTATCCACTAAGGTATTTACATCTTATTTATGATGACCCAGACTTTTTATTACTATTGCATTAAACTCTTTTCCTGCAAGACTTGCGTGTTTGGACCGTGTGCAAGTACTCTATTATAACATATATATTATAACAAGAGTAAAGTCACTAAAGGACCCTTTTCATGCCACTAGCACTTTAGGCATATGATGCCAATCATATTTTTATAGACCAAACGGCCCTCGATGGGTGATGTAGTTAACATCACGCTGTCCAACTTCACTTCCCAGGACTCTCTGTGTGGAACCTGGGGCCCTGTTGTGAGGAAAACAAGAACAGACTCACTTTTTCCCAAACAAGCATGTTGTAGGAGTCGACTAACTGGGGACTTCTTTTGAAGTCGGAGTACATCTGCCCAAGCGGCAAGGAACAATCAACTACACACAAATTAGCCAGTAAAACGTATGTGCACACAAAACTCAGGCCCTGGCACAAAGCCATAAGTCCAGAAGGAGGAACAACCAGGACTCACCGACAGAGCCTACAGCCAGGAAACTAAAGAGGAGGAACTTCTCAGGACTTCAAGCTGCACCCATTGTAGACCGGGTCAAAAGTTAAACAATGATCCAGATCTAACACGGTGGATAGACAGGCTGACTGTTTTAGTCCTGGCAAGTTACTGGCCATGTTTAGCTATTGGATTTTCCCCATATGTGGACTGTCACTCATCTACCGAGCTGAGTGCATGGCACAGCACTGCGAGCAGCAGATTTCATTTGGAATGCTTTTCAACCAAGGTGGTTTGTGTTGTGAAATGCAGGTTCAGAAATGGCAAGTGGCCTGTTGCCACAGAACAAGTGGTGCCTTATGTAATCAACTGAGTGCGCCGATGCTGATTTGTTATAACTGCTGTACCCCAAAGATGGTGAACAGTTTGTGTTGGCACATATAAACGCTGCCTTATGTATTTAATGCGTGTGTATACCAGTGGCTTAGCCGAGACTGCAGTCTATGTAAATTTCTTCACAACGGACAGCAAAAGGCATTCTGTGTAATTTCTGCTGCCCCAGAAACTGCAATTATAGAGTGACCCATTTGCCATGAAGCTGTAACTGTGAATAACCAAATAGGAGACAACAGCCAAACCAGGATTAGAAGAGATGGAGGCAGTGGGTTCTGAAAGAGATAAGCGACAATAGGTCTCTTCATTTTTTCTTTAAAATAAGGGCCATGGAAACCAGTCTCTGAAAATGCCTCTTATGGCAGGCATGGTAATTTAACCATTTCACCCTGAGAAGCTAAAAAAAAACCGACACCTCCGGGTGGGGCCAGTTCCCCCTAAATGTCATTTTTCTAACTTGCCTACTGTTACCAGTTTATGAGAATATTATTTAATATAAGTAGTGGAGTTCGCACCTGCACAAACGTTTAGGCGGTTGGATGAATAAATTAACTAACAATAGCATTTAAAGGGGTTTTCTTTTATGCTAACAGTTTTTTTTTTAAAGAACTTTTTTTTTAAAAGCCAAGATGACGTCATATTTTCCTATAAGCCACAATGGTAAAGGTCATGAGGTCACGGAATGAGTTAATTGATACATGTGTGTTTTTTAAGCCCAGGGGATGTATTCAATTTAATGCTTCACACTGTTTGTTCCTGTTTATTGATTACCCCTTTCAAATATCTTTATATTTTTCGAACAATGATTTGAAAAGTTTGATAAATGCATTTTATAAATATTTATTGGTGACCATGGATTTAAAAAAAATGTGTTGTTTTTTCAAGAATCCTAATGGGGCCGTGACCGATTTTTCTTACAGTTCTCGAGACAAAAGGGTTATAATGCTAACAATTGTTTGATTCCCCTCAAAGCCCTGGTAATAAAGTGGTATTAAAGGTTGTGCATATGGTCACTGATAATGAAGTGGTATTAAAGGTTGTGCATATGGCTAGAAATAACATACCTTCTGAAATATATGTGTGTAGAAATCATAGGCTACTTCTCCAGAGGACATCAGGTAGTATCTCTACAAAAGAATACAAACATTACAGTGATAGTCAAATACATAGAACCTCTAGTATCTCTGTATCATAATCTGTCAATATATTCCCTTAACACTACATGTTGTTGGGCCACTAAGTTACTGTTAACTTTCTGACTAGGCATCCCACATCTTCTTCTGCTTCTTCTCTTCAACCTTGTACCTCAGTGAAGTGTCAGGGGGAGATGTAACTGTCGTTGATGAGCTCTGTCAAGAGCACTATTAGGAGTGATGTTCATTTCTGTAAGGCTTTTCTTAATGCCATCACTCCCATCTTTTCCGAGGTCTTACACTCGTTCTATACCCGTTGTTAACATTTTAGTATGGCTCGCTGTGGCAAATAGTCATTCTTCTCTTTCGGTGGGAATGAGTATTTCATGTCTGGTGATCAGATAAGCTTGACTTGTTGTTTCCAAATTTTAAGCCTGTCTGTACAGCTAGATTTTTGATCCAGGTCTGTCTTTAGAATAAAACATTATTTAGCAACAGACGGTAAAGACACCAAAAGGTATATCTCTATTTTCACTTCCTCTTCTACTGTTTCTGGTGTCAAAGGAGATATAATGTTCTGCTTCTATCTGTTCTTCTTTCATTCTGTTGTAGAGTTTCTGTAATGTTATCTTTCCATCTCATTCTTAGTATACCTCATGCTTTCAGTCCTTCTCTTTTGGTGTATGTCTTGTATGGTATAGCATCACAAGCATTCTTTCTAAGTGGGCCAACCATTTGATTAAAAGTCTCCGTTTGTAATTTAGAGTTGGTTTTGTGCTTATTTGTTTCTGTTACAATCTTATTTGTGATTTTATCTCTTCTGGTCTCTCCTGCAGAACTTCTCAGATATCTCATTTCTGTTGTTACTAATTTTCATTTCTGGTTTGTTATGAGCGGCCATGTCTGGCACTGGTAGCTTAGAGTGGGAATGAGTATGCTTTGTAAAAGATGTTTCACTGTGCTAATCGGGACTGTCTTATGCCATAAGAGAGGGACCAGCAGTCCCAATACTTGGTTTGCTTTACTGATGCCATTTGAACTGGAACCTTATGCTTGCTGCTGAAGATGGAGACGTAGCACTTATGGGATTGTCCCGAGTGCTGTGATGATGATTCATAATTCAACATTCTAGTCCTAAAATACCATATATGTCTATGTAGAAGATAGTAAGAGTGCATATGTCAACACCACTCCTCCCCTACCTGCATGGCATGGATGCAGTCCATCAAGTGGTACTCTGACTTGAGAATCTGCACTAGCTTGCTGCAGACGATCTTATACCTAGACCTGACATGGGGGTACAAGCAGCTCTCACATAACCTCAGCAAGTCAGGGAGGTCATTGTTGGACAATTCTGGAAGTCTGCATTTAGGAATACACACAAAACATCAAGTAAACAAGTAGAAACTAAAGCCTAGTGAACTGTTTATTAATTTTGAGCAATAAGCTTTTAAGCTTTTATAAACTATTTTATACTGGTAACAAATAAATTGTTTACAAACTTTTTTTTTTCAATTTTGTAAAGAGAAAAAAATTCCAAATATACAATATGTAAAGGCAGTAATAAAAAGACAAGAACAGCTCAAATCATTCTTGGAATGACTTCCATGGGGCCTTAAATTAATATACATCTAACGACTCATGCGATGACCTTGTGAACTCTTATCACTATTCTTAAGACAATTCTGAGTCAACCTAGTTCTGAAAAAGCTTTGGGATTTACAAGAAAACCCCCTCTAAATACCTTATTTAGTTCACATATTCAAAACCTGGTCTCCTAAACACTATTCAGGCACACCACAAAACAAATGTTACAAATGTTATTTAACTACACTTTCTAAGAACAAGCCATAAAGAAATGGTGACGTATCAGCACTTTCGTGACCATGTAACAGCTGGAAGTGACTAGATTCAGACTTCTTGGGGTGACAGGGTTCAAACAGTGGTTGGCATGTTGTGTTGTGGATAGGCTGTGATATTTGTGTCTTTTGACCCAGCATATTTCTGTCTTTTGACCCAGCATACCTGTGTCTTTTGACCCAGCATACCTGTGTCTTTTGACCCAGCATACCAGTGTCTTTTGACCCAGCATACCTGTGTCTTTTGACCCAGCATACCTGTGTCTTTTGACCTAGCAAACCTGTCTTTTGACCCCGCATACCTGCATCTTTTGACCCAGCATACCTGTGTCTTTTGACCCAGCATACCTGTGTCTTTTGACCGAGCATATCAGTGTCGTTTGATCCAGCATATTTGTGTCTTTTGACCCAGCATATGTGTCTTTTGACCCAGCAAATGTGTGTCTTTTGACCCATTATATTTGTGTCTTCTGACCCAGCATACCTGTGTCTTTTGACCCAGCATATCTGTGTCTTTTGACCCAGCATACATGTGTCTTTTGACCCAGCATAATTGTGTCTTTTGACCCAGCATACCCACCTTCAGCGATCCTTTAATTAGTCCACTTTTACAACATGCTTGTTAAGGGGCAGTGGATCTGATCTACCACCCCCCCCCCCCCCCCTTTTCCAACCAACCAAACAGATGTCCAGTGAGGCAAATGACCACTATGACAAATCATATTTCCACAACTACGGGTAGCAGACGATTCTGCCAACTGTCACTGCTGTATGTACTCAAGTGTTTCCCACTGTTGTGGTGTAAGCAGGGTGTGTCTAAGTCTGAGGATTTAGCAACTGATGGCTAGTGCAGTTGTCACAGCTTGTGCAGCTAAGGATTTTTGTCCCTCTGACAAAAAATATTCCAAAACCTCACTGATGGCCAAGCAACCGACTATCCACACATTTATTGTTAATTCTAATTATCCTGCTCTTTTCTAATCTTCTGTTCACTACATCTGTTCTACTAAGGTATGTGGTATACATTATTACTTTAACCCTCTTCTATCCCATACTGGTGTTATTTTCAATTTTTTTCGGCCCAAAGATTGATAACATTCTATGATTTGGTAATGATGAATGTTGAGCAAGGAATCAACATCACAGAACTTGGGACACACCCATTAGCACTCTGTCCCCATCTTCAGCAGCAAGTGATGAGTTAAAATTCCGATGATACCAGTAATTGTCTGATTGTATATTCGTCTCGCCTTTCCCCTGAGTGTTGAGCGTCGGCCAGAACCCCTTGTAACTCCTTGTAGTGCCATTCTCTTCAGAATAACTGCCTTGGAGTGAAAAATGTAAGGAATTAGGGTCACAGTGGATGGGAACAACCAGGAAAGGCAAACTTCCTCATATGCTCTGACTAAATTTTAACATTAAGAGTACACATAATGGGATAAGTAGGATTGAAGGGGAACAGCCAACCACACAACATGTCTCATTTGGTGCTGTAAAAGTTAAACAATACTCACAAATCAGTTTTACATTTCCTGTTGTCCTCAATTTTCAAATCAATATCAGGAAATATGGTCGCAAAATTGATATTAAGGAGAGTATCTTTCTCGCCAGGAACATTCAGCTGTCTGTCTACTACAGTATCTTTCTGAAAATATAAAAAACATAATTGATTAAAAATTGAATATAGAAAGTGAAATAAAGGACCACTATCACTTCTTGAAACATACTGTGTATATGGTGTGTCAGCTCCAACAGAATGACTAGAACTTGATGAGTGATGTGTTAATATGGTGCCAGCTCCAAAAGAACGACTGGTACTTGATGAGTCATGTGTTAATATGGTGCCGGCTCCAAAAGAATGACTGATATTTACTGAGTGATGTGTTAATATGGTGCCAGCTCCAAAAGAATGACTGGTACTTGATGAGTGATGTGTTAATATGGTGCCAGCTCCAAAAGAATGACTGGTATTTACTGAGTGATGTGTTAATATGGTGCCAGCTCCAAAAGAATGACTGGAACTTGATAAGTGATGTGTTAATATGGTGCCAGCTCCAAAAGAATGACTGGGGTACTTGATGAGTGATGTGTTAATATGGTGCCAGCTCCAATAGAATGACTGGAACTTGATGAGTGATGTGTTAATATGGTGCCAGCTTCAAAAGAATGACTGGGGTACTTGATAAGTGATGTGTTAATATGGTGCTAGCTCCAAAAGAATGACTGGAACTTGATAAGTGATGTGTTAATATGGTGCCAGCTCCAAAAGAATGACTGGGGTACTTGATGAGTGATGTGTTAATATGGTGCCACCTCCAAAAGAATGACTGGAACTTGATGAGTGATGTGTTTGTATGTTGCCAGCTCCAAAAGAATAACTGGTACATGATGAGTGATGTGTTAATATGGTGCAACCTCCAAAAAATTGACTGGTACTTGATGAGTGATGTGTTAATATGGTGCCAGCTCCAAAAGAATTACTGGTACTTGATGAGAGATGTGTTAATATGATGCCAGCTCCAAAAGAATGACTGGGGTACTTGACGAGTGATGTGTTAATATGGTGCCAGCTCCAAAAGAATGACTGGTATTTGATGAGTGATGTGTTAATATGGTGCCGGCTCCAAAAGAATGACTGGTACTTGATCAGTCATGTGTTAAGTAGTCATAGGACCTTCCAACATTTTAGACTGGATCAAGAATAAAAACAACAACAAATAGACACAATTATACAAGGTATTTTACCCAAATGGCAAACTAACATTTTATATATTGCACTGTAACTTATAAGACAACCTAAATAATGCAGTTTGGAACAAATTTTCATAATCAAAATTATACTATTGTGTCATTCTTACCTCTGAAGCAGTGACAGGTGTGACTATCAAAGAACATGGCCTCCGATCCTCAGATACAAACCCCATCTTCATCCTCAAGTCCCGTATAAACAGCTCATACAATGAAGGTGGTCGTTCATCTAAACGAGGACAAAAATATGCATTTACTGTTACAAAAAGTAGTCAGTAAAGTAAAAGTAAAGGACCCTTTTCCATTACTTCTGGCGTACTGGGCACACAGGGCTAGACCTATATTTTACAGACCAATCAGCATTGCAGAGGTGATGTGGTCAACACCACACCAGCCACCTATACTTCCTAGAATTTGACCTGGCACCCATTCAAGGCTGGGTCCACCTGGGAGCCAAGGTTATTTCTGACTCTGTCAGCACCTAAATCCATGACCTCAGGATCCGCAGGCAAGCGTCTAGCTACTACACCTTGGCAGCTCCCACATAAAAAAGTACCACAAATAAATGTACAGTATTGATTATCGCTAACCTAAGGGAGGGAAATAAATAAAGACAACAGATTATCATTCTCAGGTGTCTTGTCAACCGGTATGGGCAATTATGCCTCTCCACAACATGCGATCTCAAGAGCATGTATCACTTCATGTACTGACAACCGTCCATGTTATGACAAAAGGTTGTCAAGAATCTGCTCACATTGTCATAATGTGTGCACCTCTCTCTCTCTCTCTCTTTCTCTCCCACAAGTCTTTTTGGTGGTCAAATGTTCCAGTTTCATGCTTCTCATAATATGACAACAACAAACAAACTAAGAAAGATGACTGTTACTTTCATACGTTTGTGATAAGTTATCTTCAGACCCTTGCCTCTTTAAAAACATCCAGGTTACTCATTTTGGTGGTGCAAAGAATTGTAAGCATGTCTCTGTAAAAACCACATCTACGAGTTCCCAATCCCGCAAACTGCTGCACCAGGACCAGGGATCATTATGGTCAAGGCACATACTTGTGCCTTCCTAGATACAGGTTTCCAAAATGGAGGCCTAGACAACACAGATAGGATCGATGCTTCCTCCAAAGTCCAACTGCATCTGCCTGAAAGCAGAGGAACTAACAAATGAGTTAGTATTGTAAAATGGATGTGCAATGTAACACTCAAGTCCCAGGAAAAGACTGAAATTCAGAAGTCAACAAACAACCATGACTTTCCACTGAAGCATACAGCCGGTGAACATGCAAGACAGCTATATTGACAGAAAAAGAGGATCTGGCGGGTACTTACTGTATCTCAACAGTCTCAGGAATCTGTCAACAAATGAGACCTAACAAATGCAAACGGAAGTAAAAAAATAATACATACATACGTACACACACACACACACAAAAAACACACACAGACATACAAATATGAATTATCTGGAACCAAAGAGGGATGAGCTGCAACAGAAAAATTTATTTAAAATGAACAAGATTAGAAACCTGATCTGAAACTGAACAAAGATAAGCTAAAAGTGAACAAAGGTATGAGCTGAAACTGAACAAAGATGAGCTAAAAGTGAACAAAGTTATGAGCTGAAACTGAACACTCAGTACTCACAAATTTCACAATCCACATCCAGCACCTCTGCCATTCTCCCTAAAGTCTCCAGCATCTCCATAGACTTGCCAGTTAAAACTGCATCGTTCAGAATCGGCTGCAAAAACTGTGGACCCAGCTTCAGAAACACATCCGGCTGATCACATTTGGCAGTGCTGCTACTGCTGCCTGAGACTTTTCTATGTGTTGTCTGGTTCTTTGTTGTCTTTGAGGTGGTCCTGTTCAATGTCTCCTGGCTGCCTGGCTTCTGCAGTGTGATGTCCAGTAGGGACAGTCCTTCTGATGGGGATTTCATGTTTGGAACAAATGCTTTCTCCCAGAAAGTTTCATTGAGAGAAAGGATTTTCTTGTTTCTGTGGAGAAAAGGATATCATGAATGAGTTTCTGTCTACTGTGTAATAAATGAATTAACATAAAATGCACCTAGGACATTTCTTCTTTTTTCCGGATTTGCCCCTAATAGGGTAGTTGGCATGTTTGTGTTGTGATTTACAGCTGAGGTGCAAAATGTTTGGCAAGTTGGAGACAATGAGCTAGTAAAAATGTAGGATAATGTGAATGACGTCTGAAGCAAGAATGTGCAAAGCAGCAACAGCAAGCCAAGTCTAGGATGAAAATGTGGTGATCTCCACAGTAAAGAAGTCCTGCAAATGTCTCTAGGATAAATCAATGCAACTAAACCATATATGGAGCAAACCTGACAAAAGGTCTTACTTAATGTACCACTTGGTGTATTCCAAAATCAGTATTAGGAATGACTCATGAAAGTTAAGAATACTTGAGCAAGAACAAGCAAAAATTATCCTCTTTTTCCATTTCTCGTTTTCTCTCCAATGACAGAAAATTTGTTACATTACTTTACAAGCAGTCCGCAAAACACACCGGCAAGTGTACAAATCAGTATCCATCTACCTGATTTTCCAAAAAAGTAGCCTTTAGGTCCAACCAGTAAGTCATCTTCTGGTAAAAAATGGAGGACTAGGCAGGGATGAATGTTAAGTTTTGCAGTTATTTTAGCTAAAGCAGTTTCCATATATGGACACCAGTCTACGGTTTCCCTGCTTGAGCTACAGAGTTTAGTGCTTGGTGCAGCACTGTGAGAAGTGTTTTTTTTTTTTTTCTTCTTCTTCTTTTTTCCCTTTTTTTCTCCTCATATGGAATGCCTATCATTTGTGCAAGGATTGAGCCTGTAGAATTCAACATGGCCGGTAGTCGTTTACGTGTGGGCTGGTGAAGTACCTTTTGTAATAATTCTACATGTGTACAGCCAACTTGTCATGCCCGACTACTGCCATCAACAACAAACTGCTTATCTGGTGGCGACTATTGGCTTTGGAGCCTCTAGCGACTACCACATGCATTTACAGTGTCCGCATAATTCTGGATTCGACCAGGACTAATTGTTTATTCATCAATTTTTCAAATGGGATAGTGAGGGACATTTCATTTGACTTTCAATAGCACAGTAGCAGAGCAAGTATGGGGGGAACCCAATTGCAGTGAAGTTAAAACCTCAACTAAGACTCAGACCTGAGACTAAGAAATCCCTTTTTATGACATGCTTTTTAAGGGGCAGTGGGTCTGTTCTGTATTACCCTAACAATGAGGCTGTGGAACACACATGGGGAGACTAGGAAGCTAAGAGACAGGAAATATAAGCAGATAAGAACAGAAAATTGGTGGTAAAATCCCCCAATTATGAAAATGTCTACTAAAGGGGAGACAGAGAAGAGGAGGAGTAGGACAAAGAAGATTAAGCAGAAGAAGTAAGAAGAGAAAGAGAATGCAGACAAAACCTCAATATGCCTCTTGTGCGTTTTCATAAACCTTAATCCCCTGTGTGGGTTCCGGCGCCCCATATTTGTGTATAAAAGATGAGACCAGTTCCCCCCCCCCCTTTCCGCCCAAGAAACATGTTGTACAAGGTGACTAATTAGGGGTTTACTTAAATCGCATGTTTCTGGCTGCAAAGTGCAGATATCACAGTCTAGCTGTAAACTATAACACTATCAACCGCCCTTGTGAGAGTGAAAGCAGAAGAAGAAAACCGTAATGGCTACAGTAGAGGATTACATAAACAATTGTCAACATGAAAAAATTATAGTCATAAACCTTTGAACTATGAACTCTCCAGCTGGATCTCTTAGCTGTCCATTGTTGATCCAATCACTGATGATTTGAATAACTGGTTCACTTGTTTTCAGCAAAACTTGGAGCAAAAAACATGCCTGGGGGAAAAAGAAACAAAAGCATGATTTTTACTTTATATGGATTAAAAGACAACCAGATCTACAATTTTAACAACTGAATGGTTGGAAACAGAGGTAAGGGTTGTGAAGAAACATGTCAAATACATGTGAAGTCAAAAATAGTCCTGAAATTTCACGCTCTTATTTGGACAATTATTCCTTACCCTTTGGAGACAGAGGCTTATTTGGAGTTTCAGTGCCAAGAAGACGGAGCCTTCATAAGGGGATTCTCTTAATTTACATGCACACACAAAAATTATAGAAAAATTAAGCATGTAATGAACAGTCTTAACACATGTATTTTAAGTCTTAACATTTGTATTTTGGGGAAGCAAGGCCCATGCAGGCCCCCCAGACACGGTTCTGCCTCCTGCTATATTTTGGCGGCTATGAAGCAACATTCCTTTTCACCACTGTTGGGCACAGGTAACACCCATAAAAAGTAGGATGTAAAATTACAGACACAATCAAACTTTCATGAAAGTAATCACTGAACAGCCCACATGTGTAAGAAACGCAAGAAAACAATCTGACTGGCTGGTATGACGGATCGCCCAATTCGTCTTTTTGGCTATTTTGCTGTTTGGCAAAACAGCCACTGCAAGGGTTTCCATGTGACTCCCATGCTTCTTTAAAGCACAGAGGAACATATCATCTGAAAAGAAGGAAAGGTGCCAACAAGCTAAAATTAGATACATTTGGATTTGTGGGATCCAAAGCTGAGGGTCTCCTTGACTGACGACCAAATTCCGTTTCAACGAACAGGTCGTAAGTCAAAATGTTCATAAGTCAAACTGGTCTTTAGTTGAATTTATATTTGTCAACACTATCTTCTTAAGAAAACCTGAGAATAATATAACTAGAATATCTTTGCACTGGAACCCAAAGGGGCAAAGAAATAAAGGAAGACCAAAAAGCATGAAGAAGGGAGCGAGAGAGCGAAGTTAAAAAGATGGAGAGGAGATGGGGAGAGCTGCATGTGATAGCAAAGGCTAGAGCGACTTGGTGTGAGTTGGTTGAGGACCTAAGCTCCATTGGGAGTTAGAAAGGCAGAAGAAAAACACTATCGTCACTGAAACAGGTTATAAAAACTGTATATAAAACATAAAAATTCAAATTCAATCTATGCACGTAATACTCCATGTGGCAGGTGGGAGCCACTTTTAAAAATAACAGTAGTATGGACATGGTCTATAAGCCACTTTTGACAACAATGGAAAGATAAAAATTCAGTTGCATGAAACAGGTTGCAAGATCTACCGGCCTCATCAAATAAATACTACAAGGTTCTGTAGAGAGGAAGAAGAGACAGAACAAGAAAGCTGGATATAAGATCTGGCTGTTTGGACAGGCCTGAAACATGCAAACGTCATCCATGCAACTCACTGAAAATGATGGAGGCAGCCGATCGGAAGTCAACAAACTGGTGACCCAACGACATGCTGTGTCATAGGACTATGATGATGATTAATGAGGCTGCACATTTACCTGGCTCTCTTGATCACAAAGTGATGTCAAATCTGCTTCAAACACAGCCTGATTAATTTTTTGTTCAATAGTAATGAGGCCCTGAAACAGTTGTTTGTGCTGCAATCATTGTCACTATGCTCGCTGCAATTCCAGAAATATAGACTCATTTCCACCTGAATTATGGCAAGCCAGGGGTTAAGGTCGAACATCAGCCTTTCCAAGGACATGACCCTTTCTGATGAAAGTAATACATTTCTTACTGAAAATCAATATATGAAAAGCATAATCAATTAGAAGCTCTGTAAGACTTTTTTCTACCTGCACTTTTCTTCTACACCACACCCTGTGGTGCTTTTGTAATCTCATAAAATGTAATGTGGACCAGTCCAGTCAAAATTCATGGGCCTGAAAGAGTTAACATTTGTATTTTTGGGAAGCAAGGCCCATGCAGGCCCCCCAGACACGGTTCTGCCTCCTGCTATATTTTGGCTGCTATGAAGCAACATTCCTTTTCACCACTGTTGGGCACAGGTAAAACCCATAAAAAGTTGGATGTAAAATTACAGACACAATCAAACTTTCATGAAAGTCATCATTCAACAGCCCACGTGTGAGAAATGCAAGAAAACAATCTGACTGGCTGGTACAACGGATTGCCCAATTCGTCTTTTTGACTATTTTGCTGTTTGGCCGATAGATCGGCCAAGTCATCTGCAAAGGATGAGCCTGAGCTGGTCGTACTAATCACACTCGCCACTGCCAGGGTTTCCATTTGACTCCCATGCTTCTTTAAAGCACAGAGGAACATATAATCTTGAAAGAAGGAAAGGTGCCAACAAGCTAAAATTAGATACATTTGGATTTGTGGGATCCAAAGCTGAGGGTCTCCTCGACTGACGACCAAATTCCATTTCAACGAACAGGTCGTAAGTCAAAATGTTCATAAGTCAAACTGGTCTTTAGTTGAATTTATATTTGTCAACACTATCTTCTTAAGAAAACCTGAGAATAATATAACTAGAATATCTTTGCACTGGAACCCAAAGGGGCAAAGAAATGAAGACCAAAAAAGCATGAAGATGGGAGCGAGAGAGCGAAGTTAAAAAGATGGAGAGGACATGGGGAGAGCTGCATGTGATAGCAAAGGCTAGAGCGACTTGGTGTGAGTTGGTTGAGGACCTAAGCTCCATTGGAAGTTAGAAAGGCAGAAGAAAAGCACTATCTTCACTGAAACAGGTTAAAAAAAACTGGATATAAAACATAAAAATTCAAATTCAATCAATGCACGTAATACTCCATGTGGCAGGTGGGAGCCACTTTTAAAAATAACAGTAGTAATGGACATGGCAACTATAAGCCACTTTTGACAACAATGGAAAGATAAAAATTCAGTTGCATGAACAGGTTGCAAGATCTACCGGCCTCATCAAATAAATACTACAAGGTTCTGTAGAGGGAGGAAGAAGAGACAGAACAAGAAAGATCTGGATATAAGATCTGGCTGTTTGGACAGGCCTGAAACATGCAAACGTCATCCATTGCAATCTCACTGAAAAAGACGGAGGCAGCCGATCGGAAAGTCAACAGTAACTGGTGACCCAACGACATGCTGTGTCATAGGACTATGATGATGATTAATGAGGCTGCACATTTACCTGGCTCTCTTGATCACAAAGTGATGTCAGATCTGCTTCAAACACAGCCTGGTAAAGGACATTCAATAGTAATGAGGCCCTGAAACAGTTGTTGGTGCTGCAATCATTGTCACTAATGCTCGCAACTGAAGCAATTCCAGAAATATAGACTCCATGCACAACCTGAATTTTGGCAAGCCAGGGGTTAAGGTCGAACATCAGCCTTTCCAAGGACATGACCCTTTCTGATGAAAGAATACAATCATTACTGACAATCATGTTTGTGAAAAGCATAAATCAATCAATCAAGCTCTGTAAGATCCTTTTTTACCCTGCACTTTTCTTCTTATCACACCATGTGGTGCTTATAATCTCATCATGTGGTGCTTATAATCTCATCATGTGGTGCTTATAATCTCATCATGTGGTGCTTATAACCTCATTATGTGGTGCTTATAATCTCATCATGTGGTGCTTATAATCTCATCATGCTTATAATCAAGTGCTTATAATCTCACCGTGTGATCTTCTTATAATCTCACCGTGCACTGCTTATAATCTCACCTTGGTGCTTAATCTCACCATGTGGTGCTTATAAACATGTGGTGCTTATCTCATCATGTGGTGCTTATAATCTCATCATGTGGTGCTTATAATCTCATCATGTGGTGCTTATAATCTCATCATGTGGTGCTTATAATCTCATCGTGTGGTGCTTATAATCTCACCGTGTGGTGCTTATAATCTCACCGTGTGGTGCTTATAATCTCATCATGTGGTGCTTATAATCTCATCATGTGGTGCTTATAATCTCACCATGTAATGCTTATAATCATCTCGGTTTGCAGCCTTGTCAATCATTTCTGATACATATATTCCCCCTGGTCACTGGGTAGTGAGATCAGACGCCCGTATTCATTGCTGCGCACGTATAAAATCGCTCAGCAGTTGGAAATCAAAACAGAGTAGCCTAATGGCGCTGCCCGGGCAAAATTTTGAGTTAAAAACTACCCAAAGTATTTCAGGATCTTTGCCGGTGCTACAGAGCCTGTGCACTATGCTTAGCTTCTTCGGACTCAGACTTGAGTTAGAAGAAGAACAGAGCACTCATGGATTACTACCCGTGTGTCATATGTTGATCTGTTGTTCAAACTTTAAACTCTCTTGATGCATATATTCTTCCATGTTTGGAGTTTAACAAAACAGGCCAAGAGAGGGATCAGGCAACATGGGCAATGCATAGTCTATGCAATACTGCCCATGATTTGTTTTATGGTCATATTCTTCTCAACGTGTGCTGGTCTTGATAGTCCCTCTCATCAATGCCATGGGCTGTGATGCTTGTGCCTCTATGTAGCACTGTGGAACCCTACCATCTGAAAAGGTACTGTTAAGCATCTTTCCTGATTTTCCTTTACCTCTCTTCAACTCCAGAGTCCTTGCAGTCATATTGTATACATTTTCCCCTTTTCAAGATGGGTCCAAGGATGTGCACTAATGGTGGCAGAGCAGAAATATAAACATATCTGTAGTGCAAAACACTCTAACAGCTGCTTCTTCTTTTTAGTATTCACAGGCTGTAAATTCTGGTAGAAAGTTATGGTTGTCCACTTAAGGACTCTGTTGCAGAACTTGAGTTCTGCTTGTATATAAATTTTATAGATCTGGTTTATTTGCAAGCAGACTGTTGGTTCCTTATATTTGAGGCAGATTTGTGCAACTTTGAAAGAAACACCTCTAATTAGTCACCTTGTAAGACATGCTTCTGACCTCTACTATATATAAATACATGTGCTTGGGGCGGGGGCATGAATACTACAGGTACTGAGGTGGACGTATGCGAATAAAATGCCATGGACCGTGTTGTGTGTGTGTGTGGGGGGGAACACCAGGAAGGGAATGAGAATGAAGGAAGAAATAACTGCAAAAAAGGATGAGAGCTGAGCGTCTGGGAAAAACAGACTGAACCCAAATTTCAATAACAATGGTGCTAAAATCCCATGCCATAATTGTGAAAGACTTTTCTTCACACAGGTGGGTCTTGCTAGTCACACTCGCCATCGCTATGGGACATGAGCCCCATGTCTCTTCATAGCGCAATATAACATTATCCTCTCTGGAAAGAAAGAAATGTGTCAAACAAGACATGCTTGCTGGGTGAGGAGGAAGCAATGGGTCTTGCCCCCCCCCCCCCTCCCTAATGGGGCCTAAGCATCCATATGGAGAATTTCAGAGGATTCATAACCAATGAATCATTACCAGAGCTGGTTTGAAATCTGAACAATTTAGAATGATCTACAATGTAATGAGAGAGACAGAGAAGAGCAATTCTGATTTAAGAATAAGAGAAGGGGAGAGTGAGGTAAGGGCGAGAATGAAAAAATGAAAGGGAGAGAGTATGAGGCAGTTAGTGAACAAGAGAGTGAAAGAGAGAAAGAGAAGTAGAAGTACAAAAAAATTCAAAAGCAAGAGTGAGAAAGAGCGGTAACAAGAAACTATGTCCAACCTTGTTTCATTACATCCTTCTCTATTTTATGCAGCTGCCTCTTGAAATCCGCCAGGAATGCAGAAACGGAACCAGTAAATGCCTGGTATGTCTGGGGCACACACTGTGCTTCTCCTGATGAGATACTGCTGCACACCTGCGACACAATGTCAGTCACAAATGACTGTAGGACACACACCTGGGTTGCTTTACGCATTAAAGGTCGCAGCGAGCTCTCCAGACTTTCCTGGCATTGAGTAAAATAAAATTGTATGACATTATGATCATTCTGATAACTTTCATTAATATCAGTTACATGTCTTCCTCGGGGAGCCACAGTAACATAACGGCTAGACACTCTTTTGCCAGGTCAAAGGTCTTGGGTTCAAATCCACATTTAAGGGGATGTTTTCAAAACTGACTTTGCCTACAGGTTGACCTAGCCTAAAAGGGTACCAAGTAATGTCCTAGGAAGTCAAGGTGACCAGTGTGACAGTACCTACACCATCCACTGATTGCAAATTTGTCTATAAACACAGGAATCTGGTCTCATGTGCCCAGCGCGTCACTGGTGTTAAAATCGGTTCTATGTTTCCTTCAGGATATCGCAAAACAACCCTTGATTACAATGGTTGATCATTACCCATACAGGATTCAGTTTATGTTATCACAATGTTATAATATCACAATCAACGTCTTTGCACATTGGGCCTCCCCATGCATGCTCAGTCCTCCAATGTAGCAGTCACTCCGAGGTACCTCTAATGAGTGTTCCCATGAGGAGCTGGTTACAGTATATCCTGTCTTTACCTTGAAGACGGCATAGTCGTGCTTTACCAAACTCAACTCCTCGGTCATGCAGTCATGCTAGCGTAAAACATTTGCCATTATCCCTCAACCTAGTCTGTATAGCGACGATGATATAAGCTCTGTTCATGCTTCTTTCCATTTGAATTGCTGCATTACTTGCCAGCTGGTCAGCTCTTTCATTACCATTTACCCTACATTCCCAAGTGTGTAGCACAGGATTCAGTATTGTAGCCATTATGAATACAGTAACGATAACTTCTTTGGAGGCAGGGTACTTGAGATTTGCCCTTTTGGTCTGCCATCCAGGATTTGATCCATGTAGTCTCACTTGTGGTCATACCTTCAAGCAGCAGTCTGGATTGGGAGGGGGAGGGGAACAGACCACACACACACAACCTTCCTGATTAGCTAGTACACTCAGTAGTTTGCGATTGCTTTCTAAATCGTACAACATTCATAATGTTGTCAAAATCAATGCAAAAAGATCTGCCACCTAATTCCTTACAGCTGACTTCATGCCGATACTTTAGCATTATTAATCTGCACTTACAACCCTTAAGCTATAGAGGATACTGTCTTCCTCTTTTGTATCCCCTCTTAAAAAAGTGGTTGGCACATTGTGTTGTGGTTCACAGCTAGGCTTGACATTTGCACCTTTTAGACCAATTAATCAGATTTCAGCAAATTTGTAGCCTTTTACAACATGCTTTTTAAGTGGCTGCCGGAACCCACATGTAGAAGATGACAATATCATACTGGGATAACTGGGACCATGACATTATCTGCCGCACTGCCTGTAGCTGCATTCCATTTTCAACTATTAAAGGATATTTCCTTGCATACATGTTAGAGTGGGTAGACCTAGAAGTCCTAATCAAATACACAAGTCTGCCTCGATGGATGGGATGTGAACTCATAACCATTCAAGCCGGGGCTAGCATACTAGCCACCAAGCTACAACAGATCTGGATTTGTACTATGGGTAAACACTTTAGCAAATATGTGACTAACCGCTGTTAAGTGCATGACATATACATCTGGGTTCAGTCTAAACTCCTTGCCATCATACTTGAAAATGAAAAGCTCTGTGATTCCAGATAACATCCTGGAATATAAAGTTATTAAACAATATTATTTTACTGTCTGGATAACAGTCTAAAAAAGACAATTTAAAATTATCAAACATAAGCATTGCCAAAATAATATCCTGAAAAAATCATACTATAAAAACACAAAATTAATGGCTCTTTCCCCTTTAAATATAACACAAAAACAACTTATAACCCAATCATAATTTGTATAATTGTGAGAACTGAAGCACCATTCAAGCTAAACATCACAGTATGTATTTTGCTCGAAAAATATCTGACCTTAATTTTTCCCAGTGGTACACATCAAGCACAGAAGGTGTCCCTCAAAGAGTGAGTGCTGAGAGACGTGCATGCGATCACATGTTTGGATTTTTCCTGCCCACAGTCTGTGTCAGTCACAGGCAGCCAGCGTGTGAGTTAATAGTGTGACGTGTGATGCCTATCTTGTGGTGAATACTATGGCAGTTTCCCCCTGCTTTCCACATCCACGTGACTTTGGACTACGAGACTGACAATTTTTGAAACTGCCAGAGTGAGTGAATTTCCTACTCACTAATAAAGGTAAAGATTGTCTCATAACAGACACAGTTGATGGAGTGTGATGTCAAAAGCCTTTACATAATCTAGACCACAACAGGAAGTAGGGTGGTCAGCTCCTTTCCCCCTCACATTGTCATATAAAAGAAATTCAAATGATTTTGTTGTAACCATTTATGTTAGGCCTGGCCGATCCTAGAGCCGCACTGGTTTAAACAAAAAAACAAAAAATCTGGCCGCATCGGGAGATTTAATCCAGACCTCTGTCTTAGCAGGCAGGTGCACTAGCCTCCATGCCACTAGAGCTCCTGAGTCCTCTGTGGTCCCTTAACTAGGATCAAAAGGCAGCCCAGAAATGTTCCCTTCATCATCATGTAACAGGTCCTTTGCAGAACGTCGCTCTTATCACAGTCTGTCTTAAAGAAACTCGGTCTCTTGCCAGTTCTCCTGCCTCATGCACTTTCACACTCAAGGAGTCACTTATATCCTGTGCTCATCTTCGTGTTGGTCGGCCCATACCCATCCTTTCTGGTACCATGCCTTCTGCTATAATTTTTTCCAATCCGTCGTGGCGCTTGATATGACCAAAATATTTCAGCTTCTGAGAAAGGATGCTGTTTATTAGCCAATCTTCCTTGATGTTCAGATCTTTTGAGATGTCAATATTTCTCATTTTCTTTGTCCAAGATATTCTGAGAATCTTTCTATAGCATTTCAGCTCAAAAGCCCCTATTCTCTTTCTTAAGGACTGAGAGATAGTCCATGACTCACATCCGTATGTAGCCACGGGGAAGATGCATGCTCTCAAAATTCTAATTTTGATCTCTCTGCTGGTGCTTAACCATAGACTTTTAAGGCTGTTCAATCTTTGCATTGCTATGGCCATCCTCCTTTTAATTTCTATTGAACAGTCTCAACTGTTATTTATTATAGAGCCTAGATATTCAAAGTTTGCGACATTTTCAATTTCTTCATCACTTATTGTTATTTTTGGGTGACAGCCAGTTTTACCTGTGGACATCATTTTCGTTTTCTTTAAATTCAAGAACAGATTTTGTTCCTCACTGTGCTTTTGGACAGCCAATATTAAATTTTGTATTCCCTTTACACTGTTCGAAAGGAGGACTGTGTGATCTGCGTAGCGAAGTTCTGGAATAGGGTTGCCACCAATTTTGAGCGGATCATAACTGTCACAAGTCTGGTTATTTTTGACATTTCTCATTATATTTTCTGTGTAAATATTGAATAGGTATGGTGAAAGAATGCACCCCTACCTCACCCCCTTTTGCACCTCGAACCAATCTGATGTTTCACCAGCTGCTCTGATGGCTGCTTGTTGTTCATGATAAAGATTTTCAATTAAATGCACTAAATGCGCTGGAAACCCCATACTTTTCATAATAGTCCACAGTTTGTGGTGTTGGACACAATCAAATGCCTTGCTATAATCAATAAAACAAGCATGCAGATCTACGTTGTATTCTCTGCATTTTTAAAAAATTGTTCTTAAATTAAAGATGTGATCCATAGTTCCTCTACCCTGTCTGAATCCCGCTTGTGCTTCATCTAGCTCATATTGTAATTTCCTTTCTATACTTTTCATGATAATTCATAAGAGGATTTTGCCAGCATGACTTATTAATGCGATGGTACGGTAGTTGGAGCATAGTTTCAGATTTCCTTTCTTTTGGAGAGGGATATAGACTGTTCGTTTCCATGCTTTAGGCCAAATGCCACTGTTCCAGATCTTCGAGCACAGTGCATGGTAGATTAGGGACGCTGGCCTCTCCTCCCGCTTGAATTAGTTCTGCTGGTATTTCGTCGCAACCTGGTGACTTTCCTTTCTTCAGGCTGTGTATTGCTGATCGTACCTCATCCAGTAAAGGCTCTGGTTCTTTGTCATAACTTTTACAAGTCGTTTTTGAATTACTTGTCACATACTCATACATTTCTCTACAGTATTCTTTCCATCTTTCTAATATGTCTTTGGTTTCCGTTAATGTGTTACCGTTTTTATCACTTATTACATGTAAAGAAGGCCTGAATTTGCATTTTAGTGTTTTTATTTCTTTAAACATGTCTCTGTCTCTTCCTTTCGTGTAGTTCCTATATGCATAGCTATTTTTTTCTGTTCCTACTTGCTTTAAATTTCTTCTTTCTTCTATCAGCTTGAAAGTTTTTCTGTAATGTAAATCTGTTTCTTGTGTCGTATTTTAGGAATCGTGTTCTGAGCTGTTATGATGTTTCTTGTTTCATCAGCCAACTCATCAGTGTCATTTCCTCCTGCACTGCCATTAGCGCTTCAAATTTGTTGCCAACCTCAATATTGGAACAAGGAATATTGTTGCAAAGTCTGCAATGGTTTGGCAACCTAGTGAGGATAAATCCAACTGCCAGGAGTGAAAGCATTATCATCAACATGAAGGTCCTTTGCAGAATGTGGCTCTTATTACGGTCTGCCTGAAAAAAACTTAGTCACTCGTTAGCTCTTCCGTCCCATGCACTTTCATATACAAGGAGTCACTTATGTCCTGCGCCCATCTTTGTGCTGGTCGCCCCCCATCACCCCACACCCTTTCCTGGTGCCATGCTTTCTGCTGTTATCTTTTCCAATACGCCATGGCGCTTGATACGACCAAATTATTTCAGCTTATGAAACAAGAAGCCGTTTATTAGCCAATTATCCTTCAGTGAAAGCATACAACATGAAAATAAAAACGCTTAGAGGCAGAGGGAGATGTAGAGGATATGGACTGATGAAGACACAGATAGCATAAGACTTCACAACATCACAGCATACCAAGTAAATGGGTGCACCCTAGCTGGTTTACAATTATCTGTTAAACTATGAGGCCTAGCCTATTGACAAAAGCAGAAGAGAAAGAAGAAAAAGACATACATTTTGACACAAATCTGACCCATGAATAAGATTAACTCTCTACTGCACATACCACACGGTCTCCCGAACCACCTGAAGCTCTGTAACCACAATCCCAGCCTGGGGCGTGTAGAACTCATTGATCTGTGACTGGTAGTACTTCCTACAAAACACATGACACTGACATATCAATGCTTTCACAACAGATTGCTACCAGATATACAGAAAAATTACCATATTTATGCACAAGTGCACTATGAGTATGGGGCTGGACCAGTGGTCTCCAACCTGGAAAAAAAGTGGCGGGGGGGGGGGGGGGGGAATGAGGAAGTCCGGTCAAGCAATTTTGAAAATGAGTTCATTTGTACTTGTAATAATCTGTCCTACTAACATTTTTTTTTTCAATTCAAGTATACATAAAATATTTTTTTAACTATTTATGAAACAAAATGCCAAGGTCGTTTTTGTTTTCATAAGCAGTTTGTATATCTACTGTTGAAAATCAAATAAATATAAAACCCGCCTTTAATAATAGATTAAGAACACATTCCTTCTCTTTTCTGATCCCATTCTGTTATGCTGGGGAAAGGGGCTTGGGGGTCTTGCCATATACTCAAGGAGGGTGCCACCTGAAAAAGGTTGCAGACCACTGTTACTAGACAAATATTTCTAGACTAATCGTCACTTGTTGGTTATGTGGCCAACATCTGGCCTCCAGACTTTACTTTCTAGAACATTTTCCTGGTACCCATTTTAAGCTGGACCAACGTGGGAAGCCTGGACAATTATACAAAAAATCTGCCTCAATGTAGATTCAATCGCAGGCGAGCGTCTAGCCACTGTGGTACCACAGCGGCCTATAAAAGACAATACTACATGGCAATTCAATTTTTTTTTCATGTTCCCTGGCTGTAAACTCCGACAGACAGTTCTGGTTGTTTATCCACTGCAGGATTTCAGTCTTGTTCAAGAACTTGAGTTTTGCATGCACATCCATTTTACAAATACAGCTTATTTGTATTCATTCAGACTGTTGGTTGCTGGCCTCTCAAGCGGATGTACTCCAACTTTGAAGAAAACCCCTAATTAGTAGACTTTTAAGACATGCTTGTTGGGGGGAAGTGGGTCTGTTTTTTTTTTTTTTCTCTGCAGATGCCACTATGAAACCTAAATGGAGAACATTCCACTTAACCAGTTAACAAAGCATTACATACCAATTTAGAAAGTTCAGCACAGTATCAAATTTCAGTACAATGAAATACTGTTACCCACTTAACAATGTATCACCTACACAGTTAAAAAAGTATTACACATCAATTTAACATAGCATTATAAGTTTAACAAAGTGAAATAATATTATATACAAACTTAACAAAGTTAAACAAAGTACAAGGGGCATGTACCACATTGTTTTTCTTCAGGAGCTGTTTACTCAAAAACAGCATTACATTTTTAGACAAAATACAAGGATATCTCATGTAAACATTTACATTATTCAACATAATCCCAATCAATTTGAACTGCTTCATGCCAGTGCAAAACAAGTGCAAGTATTCCTATCTAGCACCAGCATTTGTCTAGAACAAGCAGTCATTTCTTTCAGGGTGGATGAGGTAATACAGTCCAACCCAATCTGGTGACTGCTTTTCATAATGCCAGTATTATCTGAGGGCACACACGGCCATGAAGGAGTAGCAGGTTTGACAGATTCTTACGTGGCCGAACTCTACAAAAACGATTACTTAATTTTTTCAGTGTCTTAATGTAAGCGTGTAAATTGACTGTCTCTCCTCAAGAATCACACCCTCCATGTCCCAAAAGACAGTCATCATGTCTGAAGGAGCTGCCTTGAATTTCTTTCGTCATGGTGACTGTTGATGATGTCACTTAATTGACTGTCTTTTTGTCTCATGTTCAAAATGTGTCCAGGTTAAGTCACTTGTAACAATCTTAGCGAAAAAGTTATCTCCATCAGCATTGAAATGCTCCAATAATTCCTACGAAATTGCTTTCCTTTGCAACTGATGATCATTTGTGCAACTTCGAGTAACCCATCTTGAGCAAACCTTAGAAACTCCAAGAGTTTTCAGGACTGCATTTTCACTACCATTGCTGACATGCAGTTGTAAGGCCAACTATTGAGCAGTGATTCAACAATCTGTAAGAATAATGCCCTTAGTGCATTTGAACATTTCTGCAGTCTGGCCAAAATGGAGAAAAGGCTTGGCAGGATGTTAAGCTTTGAAGTTATTTTTGCTTCTGACAGTGCTTCGCTAATGCAGTTTCCACATAAGGACGGTAGTCTACCGTTTTGCTGCCTGAGCTACCGAGTTTAGTGCTTGGTTGCAGCTCTGTGAGCTGTTTTTCCTATGGAATGCCTTTAATTTGTGCAGTTGTAGAGTGATTTTGTTCAATATGGCTGGTGGCCGGTTTACGTGTGAGCTGGTGAAATACCTTATGTTAGAATTCTACGTTTGTGTATAACAGCCAACTTAATGTGCCAGACTACTTCCATCAACGATCAACTGCATTTCTGGTGGCGATTGTTGGCTTTGCCGCCTCTAACAACTGAAATACGCATTTGCTGCGTGCACATATTTCTGGATTGTTCTGGAACTAGTTGTTTATTCACCAGTTTTTGATATGCGACAGTGAGGGACATTTCATTTGATTCACACTGGCACAGGAACGGAGCAAGTATAGGGAAACCCGACTGCCCATTTAAGAAAGTAAAACAAACTATTACACGCTCATTTAACAAATTATTAAACAAACATTTAACAAATTAAAAAAAAAACACTATACACCATTGAACAAAGTAGAACAGTCCTATACTTATTTAACAAAGTATTTCAAATCTTTTTAACAAAGCATTACATACTTAACTAACAAAGTAAACCAAAGTATTACACACTCATTTTACAAACTATTACACACCAATCCCTGGCCAAATTAGATGCTGCATGACTGCCAACCACATCCTCCTCCTTGCTCTTCCCCTTCCAGTACTCCACAGTCAAGATCTGTGCTAGCTGTTGGTACTCATCTGTCGTGTCCACTTTAAGAACATCTGATCCACGGTCATGTGACCGTGCTGGTAGAAAACCATCACCATCACCAACACCAAATGCATGGGCTACCTGATCACTAGGAAAAAAGTTCAGAGAGAATATTTGAGGACGTCAACATTAAAAAAAAATTAAATTACTGTTTTTTCTGCAATGCAAAATGAATTCATAAAGTACAAAGAAAGTAATCAAAAGTGGACACTAATATAAGTAATTAAAGATAAGAAAAGGTATCAGGTTACATCTATGACCAAAGACATTTTGCATGTGAGAATTATTAAAATTAAAATGGTTAAAAAATGGCTGATGTATCAGCATTTCTGCAGCTGTCTTTTCTTGAGAAACCTAGTTAAATGCCATTGGTTCTATTTACACACAATGTTTAGGAGGTCGTGAAATTTACTACAAATGGCATTTAGGAGGGTTTTCTCCTCGATGGGAAATGCGTCACAAATGGAAGTGATGAGTTTTCAGCTACTCAGGGTAAAAAAATAAGATTACCTTAAAAACTTATGTACGAAAAATGTGAGGTAGGAAGGACATTAATGATCTGTGATCTCCATTTGAAGCCCTAATAAATAGGTCGTAAATTGTGACTAATTAGGGCTGTTTTCTTTGAAAAGGACTGCATCTGCAGGGACATATAGTCTGCATATATATAAGCCCAATCTGTCAAATGGGTGAACACGCAAAAGTCAAGTTCTGGAACAAGACCACAGTTCATAAGTGGACAAACAACCAGAACTTTCCAACTGAGTTTACAGCTGGTGAAAGCTAAGAAAAAGTAGAGGCTGGCCTGTAAGCTCAACTTTACCTTTTGAAAAAAAAAAAAAAAAAGTTTATTAATTCATTTGTTTCTGCACAATATTCTCACCTCTCGGCCAGCAGTTGCTGCTGTAGCTTCTTTCTGTTGTTCTCATCATCGTCTGTGTCTTCATCCTCGTATGTATCTGGTAAGCTTTCTTCGTCTGTTTCACTATCACTAGACTGCCCAAACAAACAGAAATCATGTCTCTCATAAATGTTTTGAAGATTGTCTCTACTACAATTTAACCCTTTTCAACCAAGACATTGGTCATTTTTCAGCATTACCCTTTTTGGCAGCCCCCCCCCCCCTCCCCACCATATATATATATCTCCTTCTTCTCTTCCACCAATTACCTCATCAAGGTGTTGGAGGAAGATGTAAGGATCGTATGTGGGCTTTTTGCATTGTATTGTACAAGCTAGAGTTCATTTCTGTTGGGTTTTATGTATATATATATATGTGTGTGTGTGTGTGTGTGTGTGTGCGTGCACGCGCGCGTGTATGCATGTGTATGTCAGCTTAAATGTATGTATATATGTAAGTTGTACCCCACTAGTACATCACACAAGCGATAAACACCTGGTGACACAAAGTGCCACCATGCAGATAAGGATCACCTGTGGAGAGGTCCCAAAAACCCTGTTCAGCCGTTAGGCCATATTTCAGGCCCGGCTATTTTTAGGCGCCCTGGCAAAAGCCAGAGTGGGCCTTCAAAATAACTAAAAGTTGCAACCCACAAGAAGATGACAAGGAATTGTGCAATCAGCTTTGATACTGATTGAACCTGTGTATGTTTAGACGAGCTGAATATTATTATGATTACTAAAAAAAAGAATTTAGAAGTGCCACACCACACTATCTTCTGGAAAGATGGAAAAGACTCAATGATGAATCAGAACACCACCACTGAGGACTTTTCTAGCACGCTTCCCCGTGTGGGTTCTGGGGCCCTATTATAGGAAAAACAAGAATAGACCCACTGCCTACCCAAAAGCATGTCGTAAGAGTCGACTAATTGGGAGCTTCCTTCAAAGTCGGAGTGCATTTGCCTGAGAGGCAAGAAACCAACAGGCTGCACACAAATGTGTCAGATCTGTCAAACGAATGCACATGCAACACTCAGGTTATGGAACAGGACTGCAGTTCAGAAGTGGATGAACAACCAGAACTTTTCACCAGAGTTTACAGCTGGTGAACGCAAGTAGAAAAAGAATTTCTAGCACACTGCCTAACATGTGAACAGAAGAAAATTAAGGTAAAAAGCTGTCAACAGTTACTCAACAAGAGTCTAGAAAATATTTTGATTACGACAATGAATCTAAAATTTCCAACATGCACCGGACAACTCCAGGTTTCCCAAACCTGTTGAACAAAGAACACTGAAATGAGCAGGGAATGTGATGCTAATAGTTGTTAGAACATCAAACGTGTTCTTTTAGAAAAATACCTGCCTCAAAGTGAGACTGTTAATGGACAGTATTATTAAGGTCTATTCACACAACTTGGAAAAGTTGTGGAGAGAAAATGACGGATTGCAAGCACTCAAATTCTCCTTTTGCTTCAAAACAACGCTCCCTCTGACAAAGCACGGATAGTGTAGCTAACAGCCAACGATTTGACTATTGAAATTCTTCCTCACCACCATTTTTACCAGATTTGGCAGTCTCAGGAGTTTTTTCCCCCAAACATTTAAAAACACATTAAAAAAAATCACTTTGCTGCTGATGAAAAAGCCCCATTGGCACGTGACAGCTGATTAATCTCGAAAAATGGGGTGTTCTATTATTCCCCTATGTCTTTTTATTTCAATCAAAGAGATAAGACCTGCAAATCCACAACCCACACAGGAAAAAAAGACCCACCAGGTAAAACAAACAGGTATACTCACTGCAAATGACATAATGTTTAGATCCTCATCATCCAGCAAATAATTCTTCCAGTCAAAGTCATCAGGTTTTTCTGGTGAACAAGAACGAGATTTCTATCTTGCTGTCAATCAATCAATCAATCAATCAATCTATCTACAATGAAGATTGGCTGCAATGAATCTCCAACACACTCAGTCTCTTGCTTTGATTACAAACTCTTTAAAACTGCTGTTTGTCCATCTCTTAATGTTGTGTTCCCATTTTTATTGCTGCCTATCTCTTCTTGCCTTCAACTTTCCCCTCTAGTTAAAGTTAGTTTCATATTCTTTACAGGATGCTGCAAAACCAACCCTACATATTTTGGCTGTTGTGGATTTTCTAGGCAAATTTTCCATTCAGTAATTAGCCACTGCTTACTGAACTGTCAGCTCTCTGTATGACTGTTGAAACCAACACAAGACAAATCATCCATAGCTGGGATCGAAACCAGCACTGATTTTCTTAGATGTAGTGCTTATGATGGTATTTGATCTGGCTGCATTCTAACGAGATGACCAAAAAACTTGATCTGCTGTTTCTCGATGAATCTGGTACAAGGTGTCGTTACCACAATTTATCTGATAATATCATTATTCACTCGATCTCGGATGGTTACTTCTTCTGATGTGTGTACTTTGTCATGATTATAAAGATCTATGTTGTCTATATAAGAACTTGTTTCTGTAGATATTCAGCATGTATTAGTTCTATAACATAACAAAAGGTTGCCAAAAACCTTCTGACGCTGTATTTCTCGATCTCCCTTTCCTCACATTTTTTTTTCCAGGTGACAACAACATGTTACAGTTTCTTTCTTCACATGTATCCAAAATATTATGACTGTCTATTTTTTTTTGTGATAAATTTTATTTGGCCCCTCCCCACTTTCAAGACATCTGGGTTATTCATTTTGGCAATCATTGGAATGTAAGTACTCTTCTATAAAACCATACCTCTGAGGCCTTTAGGAACCAGCATGTTTACCAACAGTCTAAGGTTCGCAGCCCAATATTAAAACTGGCCCTATACAGAATTTGAGCATCCTTTCTTTAAACTTCCACAACATGAATTCATTTATTGAAAAAAATTATTTATTTATTATAGTACATTTAAAATACTTACTTATAATTTTTCTTTTCTTCTTCTAGTGTTCGCTTTCTGATTTACACTGACAGACAAGTACATTAATTATAATACAACAGAATTAATAACTAAATACCTGGTAAAATATCCTTCTTCTTTCGATGAAAGTCTTTCTTTGTGGGCGATTCTGCCAGGTTTAGGATCAGTGATAGCAAGGCATAGTGAACATCCGTCTGTAAACAGATAATTTTTTTTTCTTTTTCTTTTTTTATATTAGAATGCTTTAATATAGTAAGGCACTAAAAAAAAAAAGATTTATAAAAATAATAATAATCATAGTTTAACGGATTAAAAAAAATTATATAATTCTCTTCAAAAATTCATCTACAATTCTATATTACAACTATTAGATGTGTGGGGCAATTTCAATAGTAATAATACACAGTGTATGTATATTTAACAACTGTGAATTGTGACAATACAAATACAGAGTATGTATATTTAACAACTGAGAATTGTGACAATTACACAGTATATGTATATTTAACAACTTTGACTTGTGACAATTACACAGTATATGTATATTTAACAACTTTGACTTGTGACAATACAATTACACAGTATATGTATATTTAACAACTGTGAATTGTGACAATACCATTACACAGTATATGTATATTTAACAACTTTGACTTGTGACAATTACACAGTATATGTATATTTAACAACTTTGACTTGTGACAATACAATTACACAGTATATGTATATTTAACAACTTTGACTTGTGACAATACAATTACACAGTATATGTATATTTAACAACTTTGACTTGTGATAATTCAAGTCAACCATAATTTAATTTTTATTATAATACTGAGATCATACCAACCTTGCCAGTGTCCTTGCCATCAAGGCCAGTTTGGTCTAAAAATAATGTTGTCAGTTCTTTCAGATCGACAGCCTTTTGTTTCTGGGAATGAACCTCAAACTTCTCACACAGTCTAAGTGACAGTAAACAGATAGTTCAAACATTTTGTTTCTGGTAATCCTGATCACATTTCAGAACAACTGAAACAATTACTAATAAACTACAGATATTCATTAACTGGTACCTGCGCAGAACAGAGGAAAGTGAACAGAATCACTAAAGTTGAGGGAGTTGCCGTGGCGGAGCAGCTAGATGCTTGACTGCGGATCGGATGGTCGTAGGTTTGCTCTCTGACGGAGCTGGACTTTTGTCAAAAACGACATTGGCTCCCAGGTCAACCCAGCCTTGAGTGGGTACCAGGGGCAGTCCTGGGAAGTAAAGGCGATCACATAACCCATCTTGTGCCGATTGGTGTATAAAATATAGGTCTAGCCCTATATTTCCTATACGCCTAAAGGCGTGGAAAAGGGTCCTTTACTTACTAACGTTGAGCTTTGGGAGATAACTCAACAAATTCAAGTGAATTAAGAGGTGACTAAAAGATGATGGCATTGAATAGGACACACAATAAGAAAACTTCAGAACAAAATAACTAGAATGTCCTTGCAGTGAAACCACTAGAAACAAAGGCAGATTAAAAACAAACAAAAACACATACACACAAAGAAGGGAGATAGACAGTGAAGTTAAAAAGATTTGAGGATATGGAATGAGCTGCATGCAACAGCAAAAAATTAGACGACTTGGCTTGAGTCGGTTGAGGGTCTATACTCCATTGGGGGATAAAGGGCAAAAGGAGACCTTAAATTTAAATGCAACACATCAGATACATTATCTGATGGATTGTGGAAACAACACCATACAGCAGCAAATTCACTGAGAAACAGCAGATCAGATGGTTTGGTCATCTAATTGAAGATATTAAAGATCTTCTACACTGACATGAAATGACAATTGCCATTGCTGCCCCTCAAGCAAAGGATCGTAAACTGTTCCTCCCCAAGGCGCTTAATGACAGAACTAGAAAGTGATGATGATGATGAAATACAGTTTCAAATATTTTTTTTGCCGCAAAGGAACCTATAACTTCGTTCACACTCTAAATTATGATACAAATTCTGTTTAAACGTTGTTTTGGGAAAATGTACCTTGATATTTTTGTTCAGTCTACATGACATTAAACAGAGTTAAAAGTCTTGTCCTATGCAAGTAGGAAATATAGATGCAAGTTTCCGGTCGAGTTATGGCTACGATGACATAGGCATTATCATGTGCTTTGCTAGATGGTATGAGGACTTGACTCTCTCACAAAATACAGTACCTGTATTCTAAATAAATTCTACGTTGGTACCTGAGTTTACGTCGTTTAATTCATTCCAGATCACTGGACGTATACCAAACAGGCATAGCATCTGCCTCTGGTGCCAGAGGTCCCAGGTTCAGGCCCCAGTGAAGGCTGAGATTTTTTCATGTGGACTTCTTGTAATGTTTCCTAATCTCTAGGTGGTAAGATCAGACGCCTGTGTGTTGTTGCGCATGTAAACAATTCCTTGGCAGTTGGAAATCAAAAAGAGTAGCCTAACAGCGCTGCACAGGCAAAATCTGTAGTTAATAAACGGTTTGAAGTATTCTAGGGATCCTCGGCGGCGCTTACGGAGTATGTGCACTGGGTCTGAGATTCTTCGGGACTCAGGCTTGAGTTATGGGTTACTACCCTTGAGCCAGTGCGGCAGTCCGTGGCTAAGGCGTTGCGGAGTCCGACTCGTAATCCAACGTACTGCGATCGGAAAACCCACTGCGGCCCGGCTGCGTGGATTTGTATCGTGGTATGGGGACGTCGCAGGTCAACCCAAGTCTCTGAAACTGGGTACCAGGATGGGCTGTCCTGGCGAAAGTAAAAACAGACGCTGCGCAAAATGCTGACCACATACCCATCGAGTGCTGATGGTCTTTAAAAATATGGGCGCTCTTCCCATATGCCCGATACGCCAAAGGCGTGGTTGAAGGGATCTTTACTTTTTTTTTTTACCCTTGAGCCATGATTATTGATCATTGTATAAACCAAACCCACCCCCACCCCCCCAAAGTAAACTGTATTTCCCTAAACAAACAATCTTAGCCCATCCTGTATAATGTCCAGAAAACTGTCTCTCATTCTTCTACTGCTGATCTTTACAAAATCGCTTTCTTCTTCAATCCATAATTTTTCTTTATTTGCTTTTTTTTTTAAACTGCATATTACGTTCAACTTTCATACTGTCTGTTCCATTCTGGCCTGTTCAAACTCCAAAGAAGTTATAATTAGGCCACCTGTAATGGCCCCACTTGTATTTCAACCTGCAGTCATGTGCGGGATGTAATTTATAACAACGTTTATTGGCCTTTTCCAGGCAGCTTTCGTTATTTTGTCCAAGGTACTGACAACATTCCCATACAAATTAAAACCCACAAACTATTTTACACTTATGTTTGATGAATTACATTCACAACTAACCCATCAATGGCCCTGTGAATTTTATGACTGTCTGGGCTGAGATATCTGTGATATTTGAAGTTGGAGTCAGCAAAAGACACACACAGCCGGAAATTTTCATCTGATTCCTAAATCAACGACAATTAAAAAAAATACTTCAGTCCATCAAGACGAGGGTGCATAAAAATTATAGACTATTCTGATTACAGTGAAAAAAAATCTAGATATACC